GGTCTGAAATGGAAACAAACTGGAGTGATGAAACAGCCATGCCAAATATTATTTTTGACTCATATTGTCCACCGGATTTTGATGCCCTTCTGCTTATAAAAACACTCAAACATAGACAACAATCCAATAAACTTTGGCCCGGGTTTTCGATGCAGACAAACACATTTCGCTGATTTGCTCACAAATAAATAATCAAACGTTCAAACCTTGCGAAAAAGATTTTCGAGTTACTGTTTCAATGAGATTCAATAAATGCTAACGTCGCAATGAAGGTACGATAGATATTTCACACGCATATGAGTCTAGACTGTGTGCTAAACAAATCACGGCAAAAGAAACTTTATATAATCTGTAATCTTTATAGTAGACAAAAAGGTCTAGGATTTGCCAGTGGGCGGGACGTTGTACACACCATACCAGGTGAATTTTCTTGGAGAGTTCACAACCGGAGCCTTTGAATAGCCAAGACCTCACTCGCAGGTAGCAGGGTGGTGGGTGAAAACCGCGATCTATTGTGGACTAGTGTCCAACTCATCCGATCATAATAACTTCGGACAGAATCAAATGTAAAAGGTGCCCAACACACCCCGATGCCCAATCGAGAAGATGACCACTGCCACAACAAGGAAGGAGTATATTTCCCAGGCTTCTTTGTGTTTAGTTTGGAATCAGAGTTTTCAGCCTAGGTCCAAAATCATCGCAAATCTCACTAAACGCTGCCGAACTCGCAATGCATACCACGTTAGTGGTAAAATTTAAGGTGGACAGGGATTGGACCTATTTTGAGGGAGGGGGAAGAAGGTGGACTATTATGGTCAACACACAGAGAGCACAATCGAACTCTGCGTACGTGCCGTTTCAAACATTCTGGCCTGATAAGAAATGACAACAAGAACGCCACTACTGTCGGTTCGTTGACATATTCTTCAATGTATCCTCTCCAATCAACCAGCTGCAGAGCCTTTCGAATCCCCAACCTGAAAGGCGAGAGACACCGACTCGACCTAATAGCTCTGTGCATTTCTTCATGCCTCGTCTCCACGTCATCTGTTGGCCTTTACATGGTTTCCTCCAGCCCGGATTAGATACAGTGAATAAAGCGCGGTGCGGCAGACGACAGCTGGGCATTCGCAATACGTGCCCTAGCCAGTAACCCGTTCGCTGCATCCCACGTGAACTAAATTACGTAAACACCGATAGTAGGAAACTTCTAGTCGATGGATATCTTCTACTCGCAAATTCAAGATCTCACAACCAGAAAGCGGAACTGAACGAACGGTGGCACAACACACACGACTTTTCAACTTCAGTGAAACGTCTCGTCTATGCCAAAGGTATTTCAGTCCTGTGTATGTTGCTCGAGCCTGGGAATTGGGGGTGGTTATCTCCGTTGCTGCGCTACCGTCATTGGTCACACAACTACTTAAGTAGGAAAAGCAATCCGCCACAACTAAATCCTGGCGATCTAGTTTCAGAGCGGGAGTAGACGAAACCCAGACCTGTAGCACCACTTTACAATTTGAAGGTACAAAGCACATACTGAATGTATTTCACCGACCGTCATAGTCCCGGATGTTGGCTTTTCTTGGCTTTACTTTGGTGGGAAAACACCTTTGATACGGGAGGACAATGAGTGAGGGGTTCCTCGGCAGAGAAAAATTAGGACGCTTGATAAACAGCGGCGTCCATGCATCAACTCAATTTCTTCGGAAATTTATTTTCACTGCATTATCAAGCCTTCTACTTATCCGCGCCGCATTTTTATTTGAATGGAGAGCCAAAATCGCTAATAAGAGATGACATGTTATTGATAATATAAACTGAAACTGAAAGTGATTGTCACACGAACTTACTGTACATTTATGAGAACCGGAAGCCTGAGCCTTGGGACTTAGTGGTGAACCACTTAAAACAGCGGCATTGCCACTAGGAATTAATTGATTTACGGATATATCCAGACAATCTAAGGAAAACTGCGATAGAACCTTAAGGGCATCCGTTGTTATTCTGATGGTATGGGCCATTTCCGAGATACCAATTATCCGCTAGAGTTCACCAAGGTTTCGTTCTTGCCCAAAATTAGCTCTGTTTTACTAAGGATTTCATCTGAAATCCTCACCGCTATTACGTTTTCGACGATTAACTTTTCTGTCTATCTATCTTTTTGCGCTCCGTCGATTTTCAGTGAATGGTTTGATCATCATACTCCTTTAAAGTTTGGTGTTACTTCTGTAGCACCCCGAGTGTTTATTATAATCTTAAGATTCGTACGCCCAACATTTGTTCAATTTCTCAGTATTACGCTCGGTTCTCGATGTTCACCTTCCTCCTCGTGCACCTATGTACTTCACATTCTCTTATATGGTTCTGAGTGGCGTTCCGATGCTGCAGTTTTTTTATGAGTCTTCATCCTCTTTCCTTAAAATTCTAGACGGAAATGAAAGGCAAGCTCCTATTGGCGATCCGATCAGAACCCGATCTGGAGTACACCGCCGAATTTACGCTTATCTTGCTTCTAGTAGCAAATATTAATAATTTTGTTCTTATATGCCTGAACCTGCAATTTCCAACACTCTTATGTTTGGCAAGGAGTAATCTGTGCAAGCAATAAGCTGATCATATAGGAACACTGTACTTTTGTCACATCGGTATATTCAGCTCGTCGGTAGAGCTGTGGAACAGCCATCACCCATTTCGCTTTTCTTTCGACATCCCTTCTGTCGAATTGACACAACAGCCCCGATGATAAATTTTTATTCATTTATTTTAGTTACCTTATAGTATCCCAGAGATTTTCGAAAACACTATTCACTATGACTGAAATGTGCTGCGTGATCAAAAACTTACTGAAGGTTGGCTATGTAAAGCTATTTGTACTTTTCTTTTCGCACCCGAATCAATGTTTAAAACCTTGCTGTTTTACTAGCTTTTGTTTATCAAATTTCATTTAATTGTATTGTATACTACTGCACAAAAATGAACCATTTCAGTCAAA